TCTCCTCCTGCTTCCTCTCTTCCTGCTCTTGCCGACCCGGAGTCGGACTCTCTTCGTGCTGCCAGTCCTACTGTCACGCGTCTCCTTGCTACTGCTGTCACTGACCCTTCCTTCGAGTCGTCTGCTGCGTCTGCCCTTGTCATTGAGCTTGTCGACTTTGCTGCGCGCTGTCGTCTAGACTACGCTGCCAGTCTTGTCGCTGAGTCTGAGTCTGCCTGTCCTCCGTACGTCGGGGGTGAGTGTGACCTTGGCACGGACGTCCTTGAGGACAGGCAGGAGGAGTTCCAGTGTCTGGCCGCCGCTTCACCTCATCTCGCGTCTGTACTGCTAGCCCCTGAGGGAGACCCGGATGCACCAGACATCCCGACTCCGCGCTCTTACGCGGAGGCGATAGAGGGTCCCTACTCCTCTCAGTGGCAGGCAGCTATGGATGCAGAGATGGCTTCCTGGAAGTCCACAGGCACCTACGTTGACGCTGTTCCCCCTCCTGGGGCGAACATAGTCAGTGGCATGTGGATTTTCAGGGTGAAGCGGCCGCCGGGTTCTCCGCCTGTCTTCAAGGCGCGTTACGTGGCTCGTGGCTTCAGTCAGCGGCAGGGGGTTGACTACTTTCAGACCTTCTCCCCCACCCCAAAGATGACCACTCTTCGGGTTCTACTGCACGTTGCTGCTCACCGTGACTACGAGCTCCACTCTCTCGACTTCAGCACCGCTTTCTTGCAGGGCAGCCTGCACGAGGAGATCTGGCTGCGTCGCCCACCTGGCTTCACTGGGTCTTTCCCTCCTGGTACCCAGTGGAGTCTCCGGCGACCAGTCTACGGTCTCCGCCAGGCGCCACGTGACTGGCACGACACACTGAGGACTACGCTCGCGGCACTTGGGTTTGCTCCTTCTACTGCCGACCCGTCGCTGTTTCTGCGCACCGACACCTCGCTGCCGCCGTTCTACATCCTCGTGTACGTCGACGACTTGATCTTTGCCACAGCTGACACTGCTGGACTCGCCCACGTGAAGTCCGAGCTGCAGAAGAGACACACGTGCACTGACTTGGGTGAACTGCGTAGCTACCTTGGCTTGCAGATCACCTGGGACAGAGCACGCCGCACCATTACCCTGACTCAGTCACACATGGTGCAGCAGGTCCTTCAGCGCTTCGGCTTCACGTACTCCTCGCCTCAGGCCACTCCTCTGCCTACTCGCCACTCGCTCTCAGCTCTGCCTTCGGATGAGTCCGTAGAGTCGAGTGGCCCGTTTGCAGAGCTTGTTGGCTGCCTCATGTACCTGATGACCTGCACACGACCTGACCTTGCATACCCTCTTAGCATTCTCGCACGCTATGTTGCTCCTGGGAGACACCGACCAGAGCACATGGCTGCAGCGAAGAGGGTGTTGCGCTACTTGTGCAGTACGTCGGGCATGGGGCTAGTGCTTGGAGGGCGCAGTCCAGTGGTCCTCACTGGGCACGCAGACGCTTCTTGGGCTGACGACCAGGCTACGCAGCGGTCGTCACAGGGTTACACCTTCAGCCTTAGTTCCGGCTCTGTTTCGTGGCGGGCTACCCGCTCGTCTTCTGTTCTCGGCTCCAGTTGTGAGGCTGAGATCTACGCTGGGGCTATGGCTGCACAGGAGTTACGCTGGCTCACCTACTTGCTGACCGACCTTGGAGAGCAGCCTCGTTCTCCTCCAGTCCTGTACGTAGACAACAAGGCCATGCTGGCCTTGTGTCGAGAGCAGCGACTGGAGCACAGAACGAAGCACATTGCTCTCCGCTACTTTCTTGCTCCTGAGCTACAGCAGCGTGGATAGTTGCGACTTGCGTACGTGGCCTCTGAGGCCAACACTGCTGATGTCTTCACCAAGGCACTTGCGCCTTGTGATCATCAGCGTTGTTGCACGCAGTTGGGTCTTGTGCCTGTCTTGCCTCACTTGCTCTCCTCTTGACCTTGCTTGTACCTTCGCCTATATATACTCTTGCTCTTGCTTACTTGACTCTTGTATATCTCTATATATGATCTTGCATGTGAACTGGCCTTCTGGCCTTTGAACTTGTGCTCGGAATGCGTGGTGACTTTGTGATCCACCCTGAGCTTTGCTTTGCTTTGCTTGACTGGTCTTGTGACCCCTTGTTCTCCCCCACTTTGCCTATGGGGGTGTGTCAGAACATATAGCTTACTTGTTTCTGTAGGCTATAGTGGGGTATCCCATAGGGGGTACAACCCAAATTAGGGTTTCCTATTTGTACTCACTTCGTTCATAGTCATTTCATTCTCGTTCATATTTTCTCACGCGCAACTCCCCAGGGCGCCGCGACGGACGGGCGGGGGCAGCGCGCGGCTCGCCAGGGGGCGCCAGGAAGAAGAAAGGGTCGCGCGCCCCCCCCGGGCGCGCGCCACACAGGAAAAACCGCCGCGCATTCAGATGACAGCTGTAGAGCAGCGGAAGCTTTAGGTGGTGAGCCCACCCACAGGATCGACCCAAGGGGATCGGCCTGCTCTGATAGCATATCGAGTTTAGGAGTAGAAGTTTAGCATGAAGAAAGGACGGTTTCACTAGCAGCAGTTGGGATACATATAGCAAACCCTAACAGGGTTGTACTCGCTATAGAGCACCCCACTACAGGCTAGATAATAACATTCTGACAAAAACAACTCCTGAACCCAAGCTGAAACAGTACCCCTGAGTATGCCTATGAGTCTCGGCGTCGTCAGCGTAAGAAGAGTCACAGTGACCACTAAGTACGACAGGCTGCTGCCCTCCAAGAACTAGCGCCACGCCTGATGTCGTCGCTAGGTACTTCGCCACCCTCACAGCTGCCGTCCAGTGAACAGGACGGTGTCTCCCTGGTGCAACAAAGCGAGCAAGGATGCTGAGAGGGAAGGCGAGGTCCGGGCGAGTGCAAGTCATTAGGTACATGAGGCAGCCCACCAGCTCTGCGTAGGGACCACTAGACTCAAACGACTCGTCAAGAAAGGGTCGAGTAAGTCTGTGGTCAACAGCAAGAGGTGTGTGATGTATGGTGGAGTGCTGAAGCTCGAACCGCTGAAGGACCTGCTGCACCATGTGTGACTGTGAGAGTGTAATGGTGCGAGCAGCTCTGTCCCTGGTGATCTGCAGGCCAAGGTAGTGGTGCAGCTCACCAAGGTCAGTGCACGTGTGTCTCTTCTGCAGTTCGGACTTCACGTCTGTCAAGGCAACCCCGTCCGCAGTGGCGAAGACCAGGTCGTCAACATAGACCAGAACAAAGAACGGTGTGGAGCCACGACGAACGAACAGCGACGGGTCAGCAGAAGACAGCTGGAAACCAAGGTCAGAGAGGGTAGAACGAAGAGTGTCGGGCCACTCACGAGGAGCCTGACGAAGACCGTAGACAGGTTGCCTCAGCCTCCACTGGGTCCCAGAAGGGAAAGTGTCAGTGAAGGCAGAGGGACGACGCAGCCAGACCTCCTCGTGTAAGCTACTTTGAAGGAAAGCAGTGGAGAAGTCGAGAGAGTGTAACTCGTAGTCTCTCTGTGCTGCTACGTGCAGTAACACCCGAAGAGTGGTCATCTTCATGGTGGGCGTGAAGGTCTGAAAGAAGTCAACTCCCTCACGCTGACTGAAACCTCTAGCCATGTAGCGCGCCTTGAAGACCAGAGGAGATCTCGGTGGCCGCTTCACCCTGTAGATCCACATGCCATCGACTACGTTCGCCCTAGGGGGGGGAACCTCGTCGACGTAGGTGCCTGTGGATCTGTAGGAGGCCATCTCTGCGTCCATGGCAGCTCTTCACTTAGAGGCCCAAGGCCCTGACACTGCCTCAGCGTAAGTGCGAGGAGTCGGTATGTCAAGGGCGTCGGGGTCTCCCTCAGGGGCGAGAACAGGAGACGAGGGACGAGCACGAGGGGAGCGACGAGAGGCCCAAGTCTAAGGAGGAGGGGACAACGGAGGCTGAGAACCAAGGAAAACAGCCGGGGAGGGGTCAGGAGGAGGAAGCGGAGGACCCGAGACGGGAGGAGAGGGGGAGGAAGAAGGAGAGCGGGAGGGGAGACCGAGGGCCCGAAGACCGGAGACAGGAGGAGGAGGCGGCGGCTGTTGCTGCTGCTGCGGCGGCGGCGGCGGCTGTTGCTGCGGCGGCTGCTGCTGCTCCTCCTGCTGCTGCAGCGGCTCCAGCTGCTGCGCCTCTTGCTACTGCGGCGGCTCCAGCTGTGGCTGCTGCTGCTGCTCCCGCTGCTGTTGCTGCTCCTCCAGCCGCTGCAACTCTCTCTCCTCTCTCTCCAGCTCCAGCTGCTCCTCACGAGCACGGCGAACACGAGCCTGGTGCCGGGTCGGGTAGGGGTGTGGGGGAGGAGTAGTGTCAGGGGCTGCGGCAGCCCCGGGACCGCCCTCCAAAGCACCTGGCGCACCACCCCCAGAGTCAGCACCACCAACAACAACACGACCAGGCTCACCAGGACTCAAAGAGGGTGCATCCGCACCTCCAGACGTAGCACCCCCAAAGTCAGCAGGACCAATACCAGCTCCCGGAAGACAAGAGTCTCCTGCAACCACGGACTCAGCTCCAACTCCAGCACCCTCAGAGCTAGTACCTGTAGGGCCTTCTCCCTGAGCACCGGCTCGCGCAGGGTCTGCAGCAGGCTGCGAAGAGGACTGCGGGGAAGGAGGCTGCACCTGAGGGGCTACCGAGGGGGGAGGGGTAGCCTGGGACACACCTGACGGGGCGAGACCAAGGGGGGGGAGGCTGTACCGGGGGAGCAGGAGGGGGAGCGGAAGTAAGGAAGAGAGGGGGAGGAGGAACCGGGAGACGTCGACTGGGGTACCTGACGTAGTAGGGGGTGGACTCCTCGAAACGGACGTCACGGGAGTCAAAGAACCGGTGAGAGGGAGGGTGGTAAAAGGTGAAGTCAGAGGAGTCCTCAGGAAAACCAAGGAAGACACAGGGAACAGTGCGAGGTGAGAGCTTGTCCGTGGAAGTGTCGCGGACAAGAGCCAAGCAACCCCAGACACGAAACCTCGATGCAACACTAGGGGAACCGGTCCAAAGACTGGTCGGTGAAGCCTCTAGCCGAGAGTCGAGTGGCTAGAGGTTCAGCTGGTGAGCGGCGTACCTAACCGCGTAGGGCCACAGAAAATGGGGGGCACGGGCGTGAGTCAAGGAGGTGCAGGCGATCTCCATGACCAAGCCTATGCGGCGCTTAGCAACCCCATTCTGTTGTGGGGACTCTGGAAGCGTCCAAGACCGACGAATGCCCTGCTCGCGACAGAATCCAGCGAGAATGCCGGAGCAAAACTCACCCCCACGGTCAGAGTGAAGACAGCTGACACGACGACCACGAGTGCCCTTAGTGGTAAGCAACCACCTGATCAGCGTAGAAGTCACCTCAGACTTCTTCGCCAGGGGGAACACTGTGGTGTAGCGGGAGTAGTTGTCAACGACCACCAGAAAGAAACACTCGCGCTCAGGGCCAAGGCGAGGGGTGGGGCCCCAGATGTCCAAGTGGAGCGTCTCAAAAGGCTCGGTGGCCGGACGAAGGGAGGAGGAGTGGGGGGTGGCGCACAGCTGACCCTCGACGCAGGGACCGCACGGCGGTGCAAGCAAAGGCGGCAGCGACGGCAAGACACGCGGGAGGCCTAAGACAAGACGCTGACGAGACATAGCACGCAAACGAGGGAGGGACGAGTGCCCCGTCCGGTGGTGCCACAGAACGGTGGGGTGTGCAAGCGACCGGCAAGAGCACGATGCAACAACTGGACCAGACATGGGAACCTGACCAGACATGGGAACTTGACCAGACACAGCTACCTTGGGGGACGCAGCAACCTGGTGAGACGCACGGACAAGACTGGGGGAAGTAACCGGGGCCGGGGGCAGGAGTCGTTGCTGCTGCTGCTGCCCACCAGGGCCAGTGTGAAGTGTGTAGAGACCAGAGCCCGGCTCGGCAATGAAGGTGGCAAGAGGCGAGTAAGTGTCGCTGTCAACACAAACCGCCGTCTCACCAGAGGGCTCAATCCACACACCCACGTGCTGACTCACAAGAGGCCTCACGCCCACCAAGTTCCTCGAGAACGAGGGGACATGGAAGCCAGTCAGAGACCTAGAGGGAACAGCAGGGCAAGGAAGAGTAGTAGTGTAGCGAGCAGTGACTGGTCCCGAGGTGGGATCAGCCACGGCCACAGAGACTGGCGCAGGAAGTGGAGTAAGTGTCGTGTGGTCGTGAAAAAAGCAGTGCGAAGCCCCAGAGTCCAGAGTGAAAGACAACGAAGCGTCCTCCGAAGTAGCACCTGGACTAGTGTCTACACAAGTGCCTACACTAGCAACAGGCAACTCAGCAAGACTAGCACCTAAGCTAACAACACTCGAGTAAACAGAGTCAGAAGCACTAGAGTCAACAACAGCATACATAGCGTGAGGAGTTTCTAAGAGATCAAGCAACTGAGAAGCAGACATGCCCCAAACAGCGGAGCCGTACGTCTGAACAAGAGGTAACCAGTCAGGGGCAGGGCAGCCGACGCCGAAGGCCAAGCGAACCGTGTCAGTGAGCTGAGCAAAGCACTGACCAGGAGGGTGGGTGCGGCCACAAGGCTGGCCTCGGCGAGCACGTGTCAGAACCTGATAGGTGCAAAAAGGGTGAACAACACCTCGCTGGGGCGGACGCTGTCCCGACCCTGAAACCTGCTGCTGCCGCCGCTGCTGCGGGGGTTGCTGCAAGGGGAGGGGCTGCTGCTACTGCACCTGCTGCTGCCGCTGGGCCAGGTACCACGCCGCTGCTCCATCCACCGCGGCCGGCAGACCAGGAGGAGGCTGACGAGTCCGGGTGTCACCTCCACCCGCTGCAGTAGGGGAGTCACTGGCCGCTACACGAGACGACTTTCCAGGCCCTGCGCTCCCGCCGCCACCGGTCGGCACGCCACCCCCACCACCTCCGCCGCCAACGCCGCCACCGCCTGCGCCCTGACCGCCCCTCCTGCCACCCCTACCTCGAGACCGCGACGTAGTCGTAACAGCAACTGCGGTCACGTCAGTGGTGGCAGTGGCTAGCGAGGCAGTAAAAGTGGGCAGCTGAGGGATAGTGCACCCGTGAAACAGTGGAGGGGGCACAGCACCAGAGGCGGAGGCTATTGAGCGGAGGTTGCTCTCGACGTCCTTGAGCGCAGACTCAAGGACCTCGATAGTGAGCTCACTAGGGTGCTTCAGAAGAAGCGTGTCACGAACCGAGGCAAGGCGGTCAGAGAGGCTAGTGGCAATGAAGTAGATAGTAATCGCCATAGGAGGGGGAAGCAGTGCAAGCTGTGCGTCAGTACAAGCAGCCCGGTAGCTAGAATCGAGCGAGCGGAGGTGAGCAATCAAGTCAGCAGAGCGCTCAAACGAGGCGAGGTCAGGGAAAAAGAACGGTAGGAAGAGGCGACCAAGAGAGACAGTGGTAGGAGTAGCGTAGCGGGCCTTGATCGCAGTCAGGAACTCACTAGCAGTGCGAACCTGAGTGAAGTGGGCCTCCTCATACTCAGGGAGGAGGCTGCTAAGAGCAATGTAGTCCGCAGCGTCACGCGACTTCCACGCCTTCAGGTCAGCACGCTGGCGGGTAAAGCGGTCTCTGGCGGCGTCGTCAGGGGCAGGGCCTAAAGGCGTAGGGTCGTCGGGCGCAGGAAGGTCACCAGTAGCGTGCGCCCAGAGGGACTCGCATGCCTGGACCTTGTCAGAGGTCCACTGGTGATCCCCGATTGATCCTAGGGAAGGGTTATAGGCATGTTGGCCTGAGGGGTTATGGGCGCACTTACCCGCTACTTAACAAGCCCTTTTATCCCAGTGGTTAGTGGGTGGGATTCTGACATGGTATCAGAGCGAAGGTCTCGGGTTCGAATCCCGGTGTGTGCACTTCGGGCATCCCAATGCAGGGGGGTGTCAGAGGTCCACTGGTGATCCCCGATTGATCCTAGGGAAGGGTTACAGGCATGTTGGCCTGGGGGGTTATGGGCGCACTGACCCGCTACTTAACAAGCCCTTTTATCCCAGTGGTTAGTGGCTGGGATTCTGACAGACCTGACTCTCTAAAAGGCGACGCGCGCGTAGGAGCTAGACCGGAAACTCAAGCGGTCTACCGTCAGCGTCAAAACGAAGAACCCTAGGGGTCGCCGTAGCAAAAGCAAAGAGGTGGGAATTGCTGCTGCTGAAACCCTAATCACTGAGAGCGACTCAGTAGGGCGCTACGGGACATAGGGTAGGGCGCTACAAGACACAGAACAGGGCACAACACTGTTGGACTAGGAGGGCATAGCGCCACGGGCAGAGGTAGCGTGACGCGACGCAGCGGGACAGGACGGGCAGCGCGACGCGACGCGACGCGACGGGACGGACTGCGCGACGCGGACGGGCAGCGCGACGCGGACGGACGGGACGGGACGGACGGGCAGCGCGACGCGGATGGACGGGACGGGACGGACGGCGCGACGCGGACAGGCAGCGCAACGCGGACAGGCAGCGCGATGCGGACGGACGGGACGGGACTGAAGGCGCAACGTAGACGGGCAGCGTGACGCGGAGGACCAGACGGGACGGACGGCGCGACGCGGACGGACAGCACGACGCGGCGGGACAGTTGGAGCAATGTAACGGCAGGCGCAACGGGCGCTAGGGCACGAGAGCGACGTAACGGCAGGCGCAGCGGGCGCTAGGGCACGAGAGCGACGTAACGGTAGACGCAGCGGGCGCTGGGGCACAAGAGCGACGTAACGGCAGGCGCAGCGGGCGCTAGGGCACGAGAGCGACGTAACAGCAGGCGCGATAGGCGCTAGGGGACAGTATGAGCGTAACGGGCACTAGGGTACGGGACAGGCTCGGGCGCTACGGACGTGAACGAGAGGAACGAGATCCCAAAGGATCCTAACCTAGGTGATACCATGTCAAGAATGAAAGTGTTGGTTCATTGATGTGGGTTGGGGTACATATAACAAACCCTAACATCTGTACCCCCTAAGACAAACCTCACTACAGGCTACAACATTTGACACCAACGTCGTGACCAAATCAGCGTTGGGGGTTTAGTTAAAGCTCAAGGCCCAAATTGCGGGCCGTGCGAGGCAAGTTTAGTAAGGTTGATCGAGTGCTGCTTTGTAGCTTTAGCTGGGCGAATTGTGGTTACGAAATGAACGAAGCCATCTGATTGGCCAGAACCTTTGAGTCAGCAAATGGAACAGGTGGTGCGGGAAACTGGCAAGAGCGATATTTGTGCAATATGGGACTCGCGCAACCAAACCTCAGCGTCCCCTAGGCTTTACAGAGTCAGCGAATTTTGTTTTGAGTATGGCGAGATGTTGGGCGAAACCAAACCCCTACACCCCTCAAACGCCTCGACTTTCCTACTCAGCTCCCCCACCACCCAAGGGTCAACTTAAGTAATCTTGAACAATTTGGGCCTTGAGCTTTAATGCTGATTTTGTCAGGGTGAAATTTCATGGCTCACTGAATCATCAGGGTAGTAGAACAAATTGAGCCCGTGGTTGAGAAAACTGAAACGAGAATGAATGCACTATGAAAGAGTTGGGTACAAGTACTAACCCTAATTGGGTTGTACCCTATATGGGCTACCCCACTACAGCCTACACAAAAGCATAAGTTATTATGTTCTGACACACCCCCATAGGCAAAGTGGGGGAGTACAAGGGGTCCCAAGACCAGTCAAGCAAAGCAAAGCAAAGCAAGCTCAGGGTGGATCACAAAGTCACCACACATTCCGAGCACAAGGTCAAGGCCACAAGGCCAGTTCACATGCAGGAGTACATGTATATATAAAAGGCTAGACAAGCAAGAGCAAGTGTATATATATATATATATATGTAACAGTACAAGTAAGGTCAAGAGGTGAGCAAGTGAGGCAAGGCAGGCACAAGACCCAGCTGAGTACAGAAGCGCTGATGATCACAAGGCGCAAGTGCCTTGGTGAAGATATCAGCGGTGTTGGCCTCAGAGGCCACGTACGCAAGCCGCAGCTGACCACGCTGCTGCAGCTCACGAGGAAGGATGTAGCGAAGAGCAATATGCTTCGTTCTGTGCTCCAGTCTCTGCTCTCAAAACAAGGCCAGCATGGCCTTGTTGTCTACGTACAGGACTGGAGGAGAACGAGGCGGCTCTCCGAGGTCAGTCAGCAGGTAGGTGAGCCAGCGAAGCTCCTGAGCAGCCATGGCCCCGGCGTAGATCTCAGCCTCACAACTGGAGCCGAGAACAGAAGACGAGCGGGTAGCCCGCCACGAAACAGAGCCAGACCAAGGCTGAAGGTGTAACCCTGAGATGACCGCTGCGTAGCCTGGTCGTCAGCCCAAGAAGCGTCTGCGTGCCCAGTGAGGACCACTGGACTCTGCCCTCCAAGCACAAGCCCCATGCCTGACGTACTGCACAAGTAGCACAACACCCTCTTTGCTGCAGCCATGTGCTCCGGTCTGTGTCTCCCAGGAGCAAAATAGCGTGCGAGAATGCTAAGAGGGTATGCAAGGTCAGGTCGAGTGCAGGTCATCAGGTACATGAGGCAGCCAACAAGCTCTGGGTACGGGCCACTCGAATCTACGGACTCATCCGAAGGCAGAGCTGAGAGCGAGTGGCGAGTAGGCAGAGGAGTGGCTTGAGGCGAGGAGTACGTGAAGCCGAAGCGCTGAAGGACCTGCTGCACCATGTGTGACTGAGTCAGGATAATGGTGCGGCGTGCTCTGTCCCGGGTGATCTGCAAGCCAAGGTAGCTGCGCAGTTCACCCAGGTCTGTGCACGTGTGTCTCTTCTGCAGCTCGGACTTCACGTGGGCGAGTCCAGAAGTGTCAGCTATGGCAAAGACCAAGTCGTCGACATACACGAGGATGTAGAACGGCGGCAAAGAAGTGTCGGTGCGCAGAAACAACGACGGGTCGGCAGTAGAGGGAGCAAACCCAAGAGCCGCAAGTGTAGTCCTTAGTGTGTCGTGCCACTCATGCGGTGCCTGGCGGAGACCGTAGACTGGCCGCCGGAGGCTCCACTGGGTGCCAGGAGGAAAAGACCCAGTGAAGCCAGGTGGGCGACGCAGCAAGATCTCCTCGTGCAGGCTGCCCTGCAAGAAAGCCGTGCTGAAGTCAAGAGAGTGCAGCTCGTAGTCACGGTGAGCAGCTATGTGCAGCAGTACCCGAAGAGTGGTCATCTTCGGGGTGGAAAAGAAGGTCTGAAAGTAGTCAACTCCCTGCCGCTGACTGAAGCCACGAGCCACGTAGCGCGCCTTGAAGACAGGCGGAGAACCCGGCGGCCGTTTCACCCTGAAAATCCACATGCCACTGACGATGTTCGCCCCAGGCGGGGGAATCTCGTCAACGTAGGTGCCTGTGGACTTCCAGGAAGCCATCTCTGCGTCCATAGCTGCCTGTCACTGAGAGGAGTAGGGACCCTCTATCGCCTCCGCGTAAGAGCGCGGAGTCGGGATGTCAAGTGCATCCGGGTCTCCCTCAGGGGTAAGCAGTACGGACACGACATGAGGTGAAGCAGCTGCCAGACACTTGAACTCCTTCTGCCTGTCCTCAAGGACGTCCGTGCCAAGGGCACACTCACCCCCGACGGACGGAGGACAGACAGACTCAGACTTAGCGACAAGACTAGCAGTGTAGTCTAGACGACAACGAGCAGCAAAGTTGACGAGCTCAGTAACTAAGGCAGACGCAGCAGTGGACTCAAAGGAAGGGTCGGTGACGACAGTAGCAAGGAGACGCGTGACAGTAGGACTAGCAGCACGTAGAGAGTTCGACTCCGGGTCGGCAAGAGCAGGAAGAGAGGACTCAGGAGGAGAAGGCAAAGGGGCGCGCAGAGGAGTAGTGGACGGACGCAGAGACATCCGGTGCGTGCCAGGGACAGGAGGAGGACGCTGACGCGAACCACGACCACTAGTGCGAGCAGGGCGAGACGCAGGCTCACGACGCTCAGCAAGGCCTCCAGTAGGACCAGTGTAGGGAGAAGGAACAGGCAGTAGGGAGGCCGGCTATAACTGTGACGGGAGAGGCTGTGGACACTCTAAGGGAGGAGAAGGACAAGTAGAAGGCGGGAGACCAAGAACCTGCTGAAGGAGCGGAAAGAAGTACGGCCGAAGCCGCGCGGCGACTCCAGACACAGCAGAGACAGCACCAGTACCCCCAGCGGCAGCACCAGCGCCAGGAGCACCTCCAGCTCCTGTACCTCCAGCAGCACGAGTAGTACCCCCAGCAGGTCCGCCTCCAGGACCAACAGCAGCAGCCTCAGCGCCAACACCCTCAGCAGCACCCGCTCCAGTCGCACCCGCAGGCCAAGCAGCTCCAGTAATCCCAGCACGAGCACCTCCGGGACCCGCGGCACCAGCACCCTCAGCAGCTGGAGAACCTCCAGCTCCAGCAGCACGCCTCCAGCGCTGGGCAAACCACTCACGCAGCTCCTGTGGAGAGAGGGGCTCCCGTTGAGACGAAGCACCCGGAGAACCTCCAATCCCAGCACCGCCAGACGCCACACGAGTAGGCCCAACTCCCTCAGGTTCCGCATCTCTAGGCTCAGCACCTCCAGGCGTAGCACTCCCAGGCTCAGGACCCCCAGGCGTAGCACCCCCAGGCTCAGCACCCCCAGACGCAGCACCCCCGGGCTCAGCACCCCCAGTCGCAGCACCCCCAGGCTCAGCACCCCCAGTAAGAGCACCCGCAGGCTCAGCACCCCCAGAGTCAGCACCCCCAGGCTCAGCACCCTCACCACCACCAGAGTCACCAGTAACCTCGACAGGGTCGATTGCGTATACCTGGGACAAACCTGAAGGGGCAGGACCCTGAGGGGGGAGGGGGTCTACCGGGGGGGGACCTGGTACAAGGAAGAGCGGCGGCGGGGGGAGGGACGGAGTGCGGTAGGGGAAGAGGCGGTAGTAGGGGACCAACTCGTCAAACGTGACGTCCTGGGAGGACAGAACACGGCGAGAGGTCGGGTGGTAGAACTGCCACC